AGATTAGGTGGAAAATGTTAGTTTGCTAGGGTGTTTATGTTAGATCCGTTTTGTTTCCCTTATGGATTACAGTTTTATTAGCTAGTTCTTCTCTGATCAATTGGAACTAGGTCACAGACATTTCATGCCCGAAAGGTGTATGATGAAATGTATGAACCAACTAGTGCCAAAGATTTACATGCTTAGCCCAAGAGATTGGTTGTCTAAGATGTTTAGTGACATTAATTAACTGCTCCTTCATGCATGTTTACTACATGTTTCATCAATGAGAATTAAGATTAGGAAGTGTTGGAAACTTGATAGTTTCTGCCAAGAGTTTAGTATGTTTGTCGTTTCTTAAACACTCTAAGTAGATTAGCATACTCCACCTACATCAATAACCTCATCCTCATGATCTTTTATCAATTTGTGTTTTCTGTTTTATTCACTTGCTATTTACTTATCCTGTTCTGTCTTCTTGCCAGTATTGATAATCATTAAGTTTTAGCTTATGCATGATAGTCTATGTTTTGTAGCCTTACATTTATTGCATGTTTAACATGTCCGCCTAGGATGTTAGAAAACAAAAATCATTTATGCTTGGCTTGACTTAAACATTTTTGATATATCTTGATTGCTAGCATCACATTTGATTGGATTGATACCTATTGTACTGCAATGACATGATAGTACTCTAGGGTAATTGATAGAAAAACCTAGTATCACCATGCATAAAAAGATATAAACTACTCGCTGTCCAGAACCACATGGTGTCAACACCCACACCTGGTGTCAACCGTCACCCTCGACAACGATCACTAGTACACTAACAGCTGGTGTCGACTGACACCCACCTGGTATCAATCGGCACTAGCACCGTATCAACCTGACATCGCATCTTCTCACTCGTCAGACCGATTCTAATACCTCCAAGCTTATAACTCGAACCCTAAACAACAAACATACACGACACAATAACCACATCTCACATACAAGCCAAAACAACAATTCTAGTCATCCAAATCAATCAAACTCACATCATAAGGTCGTATATACCCATATCAACTATGTTCACAAAGTCACCTTGATGTGGACTGAATGAAAGGAGGAACATAGAAGAAAACAACAAGAACATAAGCCTCCTCACACAAAAGTCCGAATCCCACGGATCCCTTGCTAAAACACCCAAGAACAGCAAGAAAAACCTCCAGGAGACCCTCGAGAAACCTCTTATAAAACCTTAAGAACAAGCCAACAAACAACTCTCTCTCTCTCTCTCTC